GCCCTCGGGCGGCGCACCTATCCCGATCTCCTCGAGCAGCTGAAGGCGCCGCTCAGGTGTAAGCATAGCATAGGTCGTCTTCTTCTGCCGGGCCATGGCGGAGAGAGGCGACGAGAGGGAGAGCGGAACCGGATGGGGACGACAGCGAGAAGTGGATGGATGGGGTCAGGTTGGTGGCGTTGAGAGGGAGGGAGCGAATGTGGTTATAGCTAGGGGACGCCGTTCGGCTTAAATAGCCAGGCCCTGGCCCTTGGGCGACGAGCCAGAGCAACGCCACACCGCGTTCACATCCCCACCGGATGAGACACCCGTTGGACCTTTGTTTCCGGACCTTTACGTGTGGGATTCGGGTGTTAGCACGACGTGGCGGACGTGCCCGGGTCGTCTCATATCCGCCCTACATTTAGGCCGGATATGAGGCGTGCCGGTCAGCACGGGTTTGAGGCCCCCGGGTGAGTTAGTTTTTTTTACCAGTTAGTGAACGGGCCGACCACCCGGGTGTTTGAGGGGGGGTTGAGGCTCCCGAGTGAGTTAGGTTTTTTTACCAGTCAGTGAACGGGTCGACTGTCCAGACGTTTGAGGGGGGGTTAAGATGTCCGGGTGTGGATGCTCTAAGTCAAATAAGGAGCGACCCGGCCCAACCGAGCCGGCGACCTAATGGTCGTTTGGTCATTACCGTCTCCCCATATGGCCACGTGGCCTGGAAAGGTGGGTCCACAATTGTCATAATCAGATTTTTAAACAGGCGAACGGGCAACTAACTGAAGTAGTGGTAGCAATTTGCCAAAAATAAGCATAAAAGGTATCGTTTTGTTAGGTCTTTTAATTATGGTAGTTTACGCGGACGCTTGCTACAAAAGTGGTACTCTCATAAAGTTGTATTAAAGCAACGTCGATTAATATGAATCGGGGGTAGTTGTTTTTTTTTTTTTTTGCTATTGACTCCAAGTCAATGTCATTTATTTATTTTCGCTCGCAAGAATGACCTCCGTTGAACACATTACCACTGCAGAAAATCTGGAGCCCGAGCGTTTCAGACGCATTACGAATGGCGTGCGCTCAAATTGGAGGAAGCCGAGTGCGGAGAAGGAGAGGGGGCCGTGTCGGGCAACGAATGAGAAGTGAGGAAGGAAGGGAGAGATGATGGGCGGGGTGGTGGTGTCGTTGACAAGGATGATGTGGTCAAGGGACTAGCTAGCTACAGATGACAAACGTCACCACGGCCCTAGTCCCTAGAGGAAGGCCTGGCCTAATGCCAATGCTGATGAGTGGAGTGGTGTAGAGGAGGAAGCCACACAACACAAGCCGTGGAGAGTGAGCGTAGTCGGAGCGTAGTAGGACACAAGAAGAGAAGCGCCTGCAGGCTGATGGCAACCCGTGGAGAGCCACACAACACACAACATTGGAGTGGCCAAGAATTATCCACTAGTCAAAATGTTTGTCCAAATACCACATCGGCACATTGCTCGAATATAGTTTGTACCACCACCGGTCCATGTGACGGGTAAGCAGGGCCCAGAAGTAGAGAGAACTCCTCCATAATTACTTGTACTATCAGGGTACGCTATTGTTTGCTCCCCCCTCTAGAGAGCATCTTCCCAGTAGTACGACTACCAAGCTAGTTGTGCTTTTTTTTGTTGAGGATAGAAACATCTCCTGGAACTTTGCAGAGAGCAAGGCAGGTTTAGCCTAAGAAAACCGAATATCATATCAACTGAGAAATGTCGATGAATAAAAGTGAATTATGCCATTAGTCTACAATTAACTAGCTTGTGACCTAAACCGATCAATTTCTAGTTTTTGGCCTAAAGCGTGTAGTCAGTTATAGTTAACGGAGTAATGTCGCGAGTCCGAGCCTGGTTCGAAACAGACTCTTGTGGCCTTTAATTATTTTTATTATCTTTTAGGTTGGCGCGGCAGCTACATGGTCGGTTTCCCCTTCCGAATCGGCTTTGACCTTATTTTGTCAAAGTAACAAGTTTGTGGCATAATAAATCGATCAATTCTGAGTTTTTGGTCTACAACATGCGGTCCGTTTGGGCACATTTGGCCACGCCATCATCAATAACGAATAGGAAGCGCATCACCTCCACATGAACCAGTGCTCTTCCAAGTAGCGTGCTCCACTCCACCAACAACCGTAAATGACGATCCCCGCAGATATTTAAGTAGGAGTAGTACATGCGCAGTGCATCATTTTCCCTCGCAGCCGGCCAGGTTGTCAGATACGGGATGAGGCAAGGGCGATGCAGGCTGGATACATCATAGCACAGAGACGCCGTGGTCACCGATGGATGATGATATCCATCCATCCAAGGCTGGGCTTGCAACCAGAGAGGATCCTCTTGCTTTGCAATGTTCCCAAAACGGAAGTTGGACTAACAGTGACAGGTTCACGATCCCGGGATGCTCTTCTCCCCCAGCGTCCCAGTGGAACAGTCTGTGTACTGTGTTGGACCAAAAATGTTGGGCAAAGAGCTCTCTTCTCTAGTAGGCACACGATTAATTCCGGTTGTTGCACAACCCTCCATGTCCGCTTGATTTCTACTCTTTTCCACGCATGCATGCATGCATGGAAGCCTGCCCAGAGCCACTCATGCAGCACCAAACCACGAGACCACTGCCAGAGCTCCCCAAATCAAACAAACATGGCTCTCCCTGTTTCATAACGTAGTATCTGTAGATTTTTTCTTCAAAAGTCAATCTTTAAACTTTGATCGTGTTCATATAGAGAAAACTTTCCACATTTATGATACCAAACACGTATCGTTACATACGACATGAGACATATTTTCATATTGTATATGTTTGGTGTTATAGATACAAATAATTTTTTCTATAAACTTGATCAAAATTTGCTAAGTTTGACTTTTGGAAAGATCAATATGTCGAATGGAATAATAAGAAACACATGGATAACAAAAAGCACCTATTTGATGCCTCCTGGTGCGTCCGGGCCAAAGGAGGGTTGCTATCGGCTCGCCTGTAAAGATGCCTGTCGCTGATTGAGAGTAAATCGCACCTATATACTATATCCTTAATGGGCCAACTGGTTTTCTATTGGTTTTTGTGTTCCTTTTCTTTTCCTGTTTATTTCTTCTTATTTTCCTATTTTTTATTTTCTGTTTTGCTAAACCACATCTAATTTTCTTTCTATTTTTTATTTTCCCATTATCTTTTTCCATAGTTTAATTCATGAGTCTAAAAAAAATCATGAACGTATTTAATAAAATCACTCATGAGCATTAATAAAGTGCACAAGCATTTTTAATTTTTTAACATTTTTTCAAATTGATGAACATTATTTAAAATATATCAATACATTTTATTTATTTTTACTTTTTATAAACATTCAAGGTTTTTTTAACTGATATCTTTTTTAGATCCAAGATCTTTTAAATCCATGAAAATCTTTTGATTTAACGAACTATTTCAAATAATAAATGATATGAATTTTTTTTGAGGTAGCAACGGAGCGAGAAGAAAATGAGCTAAGCGAGCGAGAGGAGCAGGGAGCCGAGGTCGAAATGTGTAAGGACACCACAACCACGCAGCGAACAACGCTCAGAACAAATACCTTCTCCAACAGCTGTCCAACAAAATATAGCAGTTATAAAAGGCACCACCAGAACATAATAAAAATCCAAGTCACCGCAGAGAAAGCCTTATCGAAACAATCAAACAAACAACCATAATTAATTGTTATAGGTTCTAAAAAAATAATTGTTAGAGAAAGCAAAAACTAATCCTGCGAGAAAAGAACAGCACGACAAAGTGCGCGTTGGCCTCTAGTCCATAAGTAAGGCAGCTAGCTATACTAGAGTGGCAATTTTCTCCAAGGTCTAGTGCGAAGTACGCTAGCTAGCCATAGAGAAAGCCACGTACCACACCATCCTCATGGCCCCCCTGGTCGTGTCCATGATCCACGTCAAGACGTCCTTGCCCCTCGGGCCGCCTGGGTTCGCACAGGAAAATTTGGCGTCACTGCTTGCACAACCGTGATGGGTGTAATTCGAACAACTCCGAGGTCATCGAAACGATGAAGAATTGAGGCAGCGCACCGACACCCGTGGCAACATTTGATAAAACGATGCAACTATTTTCGATAATCAATAGATAATATGCCGGCTCAATCTTTCGAATGTGCTCATAGGGTTTGTAGGGGTGAAAATACGCGCGTATGTATGAGCGTCTGGGCCTTTATTATGTTAAGAAAAACCATTCTCGATAATCAACAAATCTTGCCGAATAGCATTTCCTCTCCAAAAAATCCGCAATAAGTTATATGATCTTCATTCATCATGCGGATGGGTAAGTTACGCTGAATCTCAACTCCAAATGGAGAGAGAGAGAATATGAAACAGTGGGAGTGTTGGTAGATCCACATCAACAAAATAGTCAAAAATAAAATAAAATTGGTCATCTAGTGAGAGTGAGAGGGCTCAAAAAGAAAAAGAAAAACTTGCACGGACGGATCATTGATCGGCAGTATATACTCGTATCAACTAGTAGTAGTAGTAAGCATGATTATTTTTTATCACTTACGTATTTAACAAAACAAAAACTTGGGCGACGCACAAATAATGATGAAACCTAGCTAGCTAGGGCCTAGGGGCAGTCCTTGCCGATTTGGGGGTTTCCGGTGACGTTCACGGCAACGCCATGAGGAAACTTGAGCGGACCGCACAAGTTGTTGTCGGCGGCATCAAACACCTTGAGATTGACCAGCGCGGAGACGTCCGGCAGAGGGCCGCGGAATTGATCGCCAGCCACGTGGATCTCGACGAGGCTAGTCATGCCGGCGACGAAATCTAGAAACCCATTGTACATGCCGAGGCCGATAGAATCCTGCTGCCTGCTAATGTCGAGGAACTTGATCTTGCTATTCTTGGCGAAGGAGGAGGGCAGTCCACTCTTGAGATCATTCCTCGCTAAAGAGAGGCTCTCGAGGGCAGGGAAAAGGGTGGTGTTGCCGAAGTAGGCCGGGAAGCGGCCATAGATGGTGACGTTGTTGGCCGAGAAGCTCCTGAGGCCGGGGCAGGGGGGCACGTCCGTGATGTCCCCCATTATAACCCAGTTGTCGTCGAGGACCACGGTCTCGAGCGCGGGGAAGGAGCGGAAGAAGGTCTGTGGCATGTCCATGAAGGAATTGGACTGTAGGTTGAGTGTCGTCAGGTAGGTGAGAGGCCTTGGGAGGATCGGCATGTCGTCACCGAGGCGGTTGAAGCTGAGAACGAGCTCCGTGAGGTATCCGAGGTCGACGAGGTCGGTGCCCGAGAGAGTGCCGGAGAGGCCGGCGCGGCTGGCGTTGATGGCGACGACATGCGAATCTTTGTCGCAGCGGACGCCTGGCCAGGTGCCGTCGCATGGATCTGCCGATTTGACGCCCCAGCCAAGCGACCTGTCGGCGCCGGTAGACTTGGCGATCGCTTGCATGGCCGCCATCTCTATGTCGTCCGTGCGCACAGCGGGCGAGAGACTAGAGACGCCATCGACACCAAGCGTGACGAGCAAGAGGATGAGGGCTATCGACATGTTAATTTATATCTGACTGATGAATAGAGAAGGGATTCTTCCGCCGAAACAACGCATCTGCCTCTCGCACCCTCGACCACTTATATGGCCATCTTGCATGTATTGTTTATGGCATGTGCTGCTACCGAATCAAGAATTTCCATGTTTTTGCACTTTTAACGAAATCTCCATCATCACTCAAAAAATAATAACAACTACAATTCCGATTGATATATGCTACTACTACATAGTACAAATCTTTTGCGCATATCTCCACGTTATGGTGTGTGAGATATGCTACCAAAAGTGCATAGTCCATACCTTTTTACACATAATAATCACGTTCAATTTGATTAAAGTTAATATCGCCATCAGTAGATGAACTTGCATAACATAAACAGATACATAAAAAAACTTGAAAAAACTAGAAATCTGGTCACATAACTCAAGATGTGGCAACAGATTGATACAAAGCACTCAATCAGTTGCCAGATCGAACGCCATGTCAGCAAGTGGTACATTCTCGTTCTTTTTTTATAAAACCCCCCGATGGAACAACATTTATTTCTCACTAGATGACTACCCGTGCGTTGCAACGGGAGAACACATGTATGTACTAGTACGTGTGATATGTTCAGGTTGGTTATAATATCAAACCGTACGCTTTAAGTAGCAGAGATGCTAAAACATTCCCAGTGCAAGTTATTCCATATTATGAATTGAAAACTTAAACCCATAGAAAATCTATCTAAAGGAACCGGAGGAAACTAATTAAGAAGAGTGTTGATGTGTTATAATGAATGTAGCTTAAATATGGTAGAGCATATAGCAAAAGAATGTCCATTGAATTATTAACCACAATAGCGGAATATCAAACTGAATGTGGTTTCCGTTACTTACGACGCGTTTGGTTCGGCCCAGGTAACACATTCGGTTTGCTGTAACAGAAAGCGTTGCTTCCGATAAATTTTACACAATACATTCTTTGTTTGGTTGGTGCGGCCGAGGCTCGCGTTTTTCTAATCCTCTCCACGGCGGCGGTTTAGATTCTCTGAAGTGGTGTATCGGGAACCGCTGTTCCGGAATACATCGTGTGCGAAACAAACGGTGCCTACGATTTTGCTAAGCACGGTAATTGGAAGACGCACTTTTCTTGCCCAACCAAATGCGTCGTTAGTTTTTCATAGAGTAAGTATTACAAAAGACTCTTGTCTAGTGAAAGTTAGTGCTCGCCATGAGTCGCTAGGTTGCATATACCATCAATCTCTCTCGTATCCATGGTGTACACATCAAAGAACGTTAGATGTTGTTCGGTGCTTCAAGTTACCTGAAGAAAATATATTAGCGTCTGCAATTAGATGAGGGCAATATGCAAAAATACTGACAAAATAGATTTACCCCTCCATCGACACCGCCAAACAGGATAAATAGGTCATGGCGATCCAAAAGCTACACATGTTACCAGTAAAACTCAATAGCGAGACCTTGAGCCTCTCTAGAAAACGATTGAACGACAGTAGCTAAGAGCAACTCTAGCAGACCCCGCATCCCGCTCCGGCCTGCAAAATAACCGCCAAAGTGCGGGTCGGGCGGGAAAACCTGCCCAATCAGACCCCGCATCCCGCTCCGGCCCGTAAATATTTTTACGGGGCGCGGCAAAACTTCTCCCCCAACCTCTACTTTCACAGGCTGGGAGGCCGACCCGAGGTCAGCCCGTATCCGCAGCTAGATTTGGCGGGAGGGACATTTCCGCACGCCCTTTCCCGCTCCCCCACCCTCCGCCACCATTCCCCGCCGCTGCACGCTCCAGTGCATCCTCCACGGCCGTCCCTCGCCGCCATGGACGACTCCCAGCTGCCCGCCCCCCATCACCGTCGAGGTCGCGCATGCCCCTTCCCCTGGGGCAGATCTCATCGCCGGGCATGTTGGCCCCGTCGTCGCTCAAGCTAGCGTCGTGCCTGCCCGCAAGCGGCAGGGCAACGTGGTCGTGCAGGGCGGGAATCCGGCAGCCCCCGCCGCCAAGGCTCGCGCTCCCGGTGCCAACGCTGTTGTGCGATCTCGGCTGGCGGCGAAGAAGGTGACCAAGGCCGCGGCCGGCAAGAGGAAGAGGAATCCGGCTACAAACAAGGTGTCTTCTTCATCCTCGAACTCCATCCTGGAAAGAGGTGCCCAGCCGATGT